AACAGCAGTAATGTTGGATGACACCCAGAACAGACTTGTCTGTATGTCAAAAAAATTTCCCTATCCTGCAGACATTTCCTCATCAACCCTGTGGAGCAGAAGCAGTGATGCATATTCTACTTCTAAGTGGCAAACAAGGCTTTAAAAATACAGCAGAATATTAAAGGCTCCAGTTTGGCCATCTACAGTACATTTTTAATATTTTAAAGCAACATAAGCAGATATCTGCTCCCTTCTGTTCCCATTTCTGAGGAAGTAAAAATGGCCTGTCAGCTTCCTGAGAGAAGTGCTCATAAAATGTTATCCATTCCCTTGCAGTATAGTGGATGAATCCCAGGAGCCTTGATCTCATTGTTGGCTGTGTCATGACTCTTACGGTGCCAGGACTATCTTAAGCCACTTCGTGACACAGTGCAGAAATGGGGGGTACTGGGACTGAGCCTGCTTCAAAAAAAAAAGAAAAGAGGAGAAAGAAAAAACATTGTTTTCAGATTGGTTGCATGTACAGATAAGTGTACTGTAATGTAATTTCTAACTTCTAGAAGTTGAATAAGAGCAATATAGCAGCCCAGGAGGAATAGTAATCTAAATCCAAAATAATTAAGTATCATTACTGTGTTGTAGCTTTGCTTTGTTCCCAAGCCCTAGACATTGGTTTCTTTTCCATCTCTGAGAGACAAGCTGTCGCTGTGGGCTAGTTCCTCAGATAAAGGAAATTCCAGCATGTGCAGCTCCCTGAAAAAAGCCGGCACGTTGTGAACTGCAGATCCCTGGGCGGCACCAGTGACCCAGAAAGGTGCCTTGTTACTGACGTAGGGAGCAGGCCCACATTCTCCAGTCAGACTCTTGTGTTCCCTCCCTGGTGCTTCCTGTATTATCCAGACATCCTTGTTGTCCCTTGGGTCCTGCAGATCAGTCCCTCTTGTTGGCTTGTGGCTGTGACTGCTGCCCATGTGTGACTATATAGGCTGTCCTTTTCCTGGCCCCCTTCATTTAGAGGTTTTATTAACCATTTCAGGTGTGAAGGCCTCCATCTTCCTACTGTGGACCAGCCATCCTAGATGTGCTTGTTTCACACTTGTGGACATGCCAGGAAGAGAGTCTGAGCCAAGGAGCAAGAATCCAGGCAGCTTGTGTGTCAGTCACTATTCAAACTTCTATCATCTGAATCAATTGGATATTTTTTAAGAAGGAAAAGGAATATCAGTTCCTCTGGTCCAGCCTTCTGTGGGTCCAGAATCATTCTGCGCAGAGCTGTCAGCTGTGCTCTGTCCAGTCTCTCAGCTGAGTGCTTCCTTTCTGTAACAAACTGTCCCACTCTTTCATTAAATGCTCCATTATGAGGTTCTCCTAGATACAAATTCAAAAGCAGCCGATGCATGAGGAAAGCCTGTTGTTTGGATTCCCCATCTCTTCTTTAGCTTGGGGAACTAGCCGCACCTATATCTTGGACACACAGACCATATCTGCTGGGTATTTTTACCTAGAAAAGAGTACACCTTGGAGCTAAGGCAGTTTGAACCACTGGGAAAGCCAAAGCGCCCATCAAAGCACAAAGGTTGTGGGTTAAATTCTGTTCATCCTCAGATTTCTTCTGGGAGATGCAAGTGCATGGGGAGCAGCACTGGGCCACCATCCCACTTTATCAGCTCAGCTGCATTGTTGCTGGCTTGAAATGAAGAGAGAGAAGAGTAGCACCTCCCTATCTGGAGTTCTCTCGATCCCCACAAGCTCAGACTCAGCTGTGCTCTGGAAGAGTAGGGATGAAGGACCATTTGACAACAGACAAGTCCCCTCGTACCCGTGGGCTGCACTGAGTATATTTTCTTACAGCTAAAGCAGAGTTAACTTTTTGTTCCTTTAACCCAGGCTACTGTACCATCACAGGAACTGGAATGCTACATGGATGCAATGTGCAATATTAAATAGCTGTAAGATATTTAGGGACTGTGTGAAGTGCGCAATAGCCTTCTGACAGCTCACACGAACAGCTCTTGAAACAGACTTTTATTAGTGCTGTCCACACATATGAGCAGCCATGAGACTGAGCTGATGTTGGCACTGTGTTTCTAGGCAAAAACTTATAAACAATTAATGTTTTGCATGACTAGAAAACACCTTTGCCAGTCTTTGTCTCCGAAAGTTGTAACCCCCTAAGTTGAAAAAGATGTTGAGAGGAGCTGGTATGTGGTCTGAGCACACAGCCAACTGCCAGGCAGCCCTGTGTCCTAAATCCCAACTGTGGTAGGATTGGTTTCGTCTGTTGCCTCTGGCAAGCTGCTTACACTCTCATTCGTTTTCCATCTTCAAACTGGCGCTGTGAGGTTCAATTAATGTTATAAAATTTTCTGAAAACTGAAGGAGTCCAATGTCTGATAATGGTTTGGAGCCCTAATTTATATTGCAAATTCTGTACTTGTCATAGGGTTATAGGTTGCATCCGTGTTAGTCTAGAGGCAAAGGCATCCAAAACTCTTGAGGAGGAGGCGACTTCTTTTATTAGACCAACTAGATAGTTGCAAAAAATGTTTTTACTTGCTAGCTTTCAGGCTCAAATGCCCTTCCTCAGGCAAAGGAGAAGTCAAAGATTGGTAAAAATTAAATTTTATATTGCACAGGAGAGCAGAAGGATGTTATGGGTCTCCTGGTCGGAAACCTAACATCCTTCTGGTCTTCTGTGCAATATGAAGCTTCATTTCTATGTGGCAGAAATTTTACGATCTTTGACTTCTCCTTTGCCTGAAGAAGGGCATCTGAATTTGTTGTTGTTGTTGTTGCTGTTGTTGTTGTTTAAAAAAAAAATTGTTTAAACTATCTAGTTGGTCTAATAAAAGATATCAACTCTTCCTCAAGAGTACAGACAATTTTCATTTCCAGTTACTAATTTTTTACTTTTGTGTGTTCCTATTTCACCTGAATTTTCTGTGTGCATTGTCCAAGTAAAAAACGTGGCTGTTGTAAAACTGCTTTCAGAAAATAACCAGTTGCCATAATATGTCTGACCTAATCACATAAAGCAGATTTAATGAAGTCACTGGCTGCTGTTGCTTTAAATTATCATACAAATACAGTGCACAGAGTTTCAATAAATCCATTTTTTATTAGTAAATTATGTATCTAAAATCTGGTACCTAGTGCTTTATTTACTGTTAAAAATTCCATCCTCTTGCCCTCTCTCCTCCCCCCAAACTTTTAACTGCCATTAAAGAACCTCACATTTTATACTTTTTCTTTTTGAACTGTAATTAAATCCCTCTGGACTAGAGTGTTTTATGATAGACAGATTTCCTGAACTACCCTTTTCCCCATTTTTATTTTGTATTGTATATTGTTAATTCAGAAACTGAAAAAGTTGGTCACCTGTTTGGTGATTTCTCATTTTCTTTTAGTCTCTCTTGGTGGATGTACCATAAGCAAAATTACAGTCTTAATCTTTACTTTCAAACTGAAAAGTAGATTTTGTTCTTAAATTATCAAAACATGAATGTCTAAAAGCCACCATCTGCTCTCCTTTTTTCCTTTCTGTTTGTATTTCTCTCCTGCTTTGATTATAAAAATAAGGAAATAATATTTTGTTTGACATTGTTGTTTGCTTTCCTATCTCACCTTAAGCAGGGAAGACTCGCTCTCTGTTGTGTTGTCCACCTTTCACCTAAATTGATTCTCAGACTCTTCCCTTATATTTGTAGCCACAAATATACGTTTAAAGGGATAATACCATCTCCCTTTTGCCTTTCCTTTAGGCGCTTTGTGGTTTGGTTTTCATTTCTGCCATAGCTTTCTTCAAGTCTGTCTTATTTCCATTTTTACTTTGTTTTTATATCCTTCTTCCGCACTGCTCTTTCATCTTCTGTCATGTTTTCATGTTTGCCTTCCTCTAGGTTTTGCTTTGGTTTCATTGGCCTTTTGCTAGGCTTGAGTATAACAACCTTAGCTCCTTATAGGTCTGTGATCCAGGTTTATAGGTGAATAGGGTTCTTCCTCATTCACAGTGTCCTTTCCAAACAGTTATGCCATCTGTTTGTTTTGGCAGTTTTGGGACATGCATATCAGGTTCTCATTTGTACCCCCACCCCCTCAACCCACAGTGTGTGCGCTTGTGTCTTTCCCTGCTCACAGTATCTTCCTTCCAGGGCAGCGCGCTGCCTTTGCAACTCTCAGATGTCCCATGGGTTCTTGACTCTGTATTATTTGTTGGTTTACATGTGCTATCCTATAAGAAGGATTAGTGTAATCATACCAGATTGCTATGTTGTACCTGTTCTCTGGCCAGCAGAAGGGATTATTTTAAGTGTCATATCAATTAAGTGCTGGTGCAGCGGGACATGTCCTTAATGTGCTTAAATCAAAATGCCAAAAAAAACCAAGTACACTAAAGCAGCAATATGTCTGAGTAGGTGTTTTACTTATAAAAACGGTTACTGCTGGGTCACCCAGATAGAGATACAAAATCCAGAGCAGCACCACAAAAACTGGTGTGGGATCATGTGGGTGGGTGGGTGAGTAAATTGAAAGAAGAGGATTCAAGAGTCATCATGGATATTATCCCCCAAGAACAATGAGTGCCCAGGATGGGTAATTTGTCAATGCCTTCTCTTCTCTCTTCAAACAATGTAGAGGTCTCTCCTCCTGTCTGTTGATGTCTACCTACTTACCTGCATGCATAACATCCCTGTAACAATAGCACCATGGCATGAACCAAAGGTAAATGTATTCCCCATGAATTGGCATGGAGAATGCTTCTCCTGAACTGCAAATAAAATACAGGCAGGAGCTTTTCCTCCTACTTCTCAAATGAGGTGACTGGGGCACAGGCATGTGGCACCAACATCCCTAGTCTTTCTGTGTATAATGGTGGTAGATCACACTCCTACATCAGGACCTGTAGAAGGGACAGGGTTGGATGACAACAAATTGTGGCTACAGACACTAACAGGCTACCAGCCCAGCCCCACTGCTGACATCTCCAGCTGCTGCTGAAAGGTGTTTTTCTTTTTCAGAAACCTTGGCAAGTCGGGGTTGCGAGTGTCGTGCCTGGGCTTAGGTAAGTGGTTTGGTACTTAGACACATCTTCCACATTATAGTGCTCTACCCTGGGTACCGTGCTGAGTACCTACTTATCTCCTTTACAGTGATGTCTTTCCCTCAGTTACTCCAGGTGGGTGCAGCCCTCTCGGGTAGAGTGGGCAGGGGCTGCATCTTATGTAAATAAGAGTTGTACCTCTAAACAGGGTAACGTCCTACTGACTGTGCTGAGTAAAGAATAGTCAGTGAGGCTCTGTCCTCTGGCTGGTGGTTATGGAATAACTGTGTCTAACTGTTCATTTCTAAATGGGGACCGCTCCCCAATGAGTTGACATGGATAACAGTCTCAAAGACCATCAGGGTTAGCAGACTAAAATCCACCAAGGCGCATGTTATGTGTTGTATCCTTTGTTGCATGGAAGTACCTGGTGGTCACAGGTGTGCACTGGCTACTGGCTTGGATGGGTCTGTAAACTTGAGGCTTTTTCAGTTTCTGCTGCTTAAGAGGCCCCTATGCCCAGGCTGTTTAAAAGTGGAAAGGTATACATGTTCCCTGTGTGCCTCCACTACTGAGAATTTGCTGTGCAGAGGCACTGGTGTCATAGAGGCCAAGACACACAGGTAATGTCCAACAGAAAACGTTTTTTAGAATTATACTGGAGCCCTCTTATGCTGCTTTGTGACTCATTAAACATGTCTGAAAAATCAGGGGATGGATTTCTATCCGGCTTGGACATTTTACAGGAATATCAGAAAAGACAAGTGTAGGTTTCCTTGGCTTTGCTGCCTGTCTCCTACTATACCCTCATGATAGGGCAAGCAGTTCAGTCATTTACATGGCTCCCTGAATCCAGGATGTTATCATATTTACTCAAATTTAGGATGACCACCCCCCCACCCCCACCCCATAATTAGGTTCTATGTGAAAAATAGATACATCCAATATAATTTTCTAAGTAGAGAATCTAATTATTGGAGGAATGTCGTACGTTTGTGTGTTCCCCCCCCACACTACTATAGCATAGAAAGTAGTGGTTCTGCCCTCCCAGTTCTGCCCTCTGCCACCTGCACCCGCTCAGCTCTCCACAGCCTTTGCCCCCTGTACCCCATAGTTTCTGTCCCTTCCTTCCCACTCCCCACAGTCTCTCATAGAATCATAGAAGTAGGGTCGGAAGGGACCTTGCAGATCTTCAAGTCCGACCCCCTGCCTGGGCAGGAGGAAAACTGGGCTCAAATGACCCCAGACAGGTAGGCATCAAGCCTCTTCTTAAAGAGGCTTCTTAAAGCCTCTCCCTCACCCCCTTACTGTTAGATGCTGCTCAGGCTCTGCTCCCTGCTGGGTCACGGAGCACAGCATGTGGAAGCGCAGCCCTTGCCAGCCCATGCTGCAACACTGCTGATTGGCCTGGCAAGGGATGGAGTTTCCCTGTACTTCATGTCCAGGATGGAATCCAGCCAGAGCCATGCTGTGCCTGACAGCAAAGGAAAGGGGCAGAGTCCGTAGAGGGCAAGTGGAGAAAGGGGCAGGAGGCTGCTGCGTAGCTGACTTTGGCCCTGACTCAAGATCAGGGCCAGAGTCACAACCACAGCAGCTGCCTGCCCCCCACCTTCCACTTTGTACGTGAATCTAGGATGAGGGACCTTTCCTCCCATCCTGACTGGGGAGGGAAAAAACTCATAGATTCATAGATGTTAGGGCCGGAAGGGACCTCAATAGGTCATCGAGTCCGACCCCATGCATAGGCAGGCTGCATAGGCAGGAAAGAGGGCTGGGTTTAGATGACCCCAGCTAGTGCCTATCTAACCTCCTCTTGAAGACCCCCAGGGTAGGGGAGAGCACCACCTCCCTTGGGAGCCCATTCCAGACCTTGGCCACTCTAACTGTGAAGAAGTTCTTCCTAATGTCCAGTCTAAATCTGCTCTCTGCTAGCTTGTGGCCATTATTTCTTGTAACCCCCAGGGGCGCCTTGGTGAGTAGAGCCTCACCAATTCCCTTCTGCACTCCCATGATAAATTTATAGGCAGCCACAAGGTCGCCTCTCAACCTTCTCTTGCGGAGGCTGAAGAGGTCCAGGTGCCCTAGTCTCTCCCCGTAGGGCTTGGCCTGCAAGTCCTTAACCATATGAGTGGCCCTTCTCTAGACCCTCTCCAGGTTATCCACATCCCTCTTGAAGTGCGGCGCCCAAAACTGGATGCAGTATTCCAACTGCGGTCTGACAAGTGCCCGATAGAGGGGAATCTAGGGAACTCTTCCTAGATTCAAGTAAATATGATAAGTATTAAGATATAAATTAGTAAAAGGTAAATCTATGGTAACAAAAACAAACCAGATGATTAAACCATTTGAACTACAAATCTTCCAGGCTGATTTACTTCACTGTCACTACTTCTACAATCCCCAGAGGCTCAAAATCTTGACATGTGAATGTAAAAGACAAACAAAAATATAAAAGCAAAGAATGTAACTGGGGAGAGAGTCTCTTTCTCCTGTATGAATGAAATGTCACCAGGCTTTGTGGAAAAGGAAAGGAGCTTTTTCCTCAGAGCTGATAACAGGCATGAAAATTCTCAGTCTGAAAGATGATTTTTTACCAGCTTCCCTGCTCTTGGAAACAGGAGCATATAAATAGCAGTGTTTTTTCACCTTAGCCCTAGCGTTGGCAGCACAGCACCAGATCTGTTATAGGAAACCTGCAAAGATGCTGCCCCATCTAAGCTTAGTGACTGCAGAAGCAAGTGCCTGGCTCTTCAGTGGCTCCCAGTCAGGTTAACTGAAATGAGCTGTCTTTTTCATGCGACACGAGCTCCAGGACATTATTCCTGTCCTTCGTGAGTAAACCTGGTTCAGAGCTTCCAAGGTAGTGCCGAGTCTGCGTTAAAAAAAAAATCAGTGCCTGAACTGGAGCTGGGAGAGTTCAGTCTGTGGTAGTTTTTTGTCCAGACAAGCTGTGATTTACCAAGGTTTGAACAGGTCAGAAATATCCTCGGGAAAGGGCCTTTACCTCTGCAGAAACTTGGCTTGTGCTTTAAACCCAGATTAAGTGTGTGGATTTTGGCTGCACAGGTAATGTTCTAGATGTGGACTCAGTGTGGCCAGCACAGCCTACTCTCCCTAGAAGCTAGTCTGTACCAAAAAGCTAAGTGGGTTAAAGAAAAGTGTAAATGTAAGCCACTATTACTGCCCATGCAAACGTTCTTATGGCAGTTAAAGAGCGTCTTTTTTCAGATTACATTACATTGTTTGAAAGTGATTTAATATGAATAAAAAAAGCTGCTCCTATTGCACAATTTGCATGTCCATGCTTGGGAGTCAGACCTTGCAACTGCAGCAGCTTTACTTGTCTGGCTTAACTGGAACGATTGCCTGTGTGGTTAGCTCCTATGCCTGCAACAGGCAGCCCCCAGTACCTCTGCTGCTGTTCCTTCCTTTTGCTGGGTTGATCAGCAAAATACGTAATGAAAAGCTGAGTGGCTTGTCCAAAATCCTCAGGCAGGTCTGAAAGAAACTGGCTCCATGTCATTGTCCCTGTGTTGCTGCTTCAGGTGTTTGGTATCCAGGAAGGAAGAGTGAAAAGGGCATAGGGCAATCATCTGAACTGTTTCAGACTTGTGGTCTATTTATTTGAGCTGTACTGCTGGCTTGTAGTTTACAACTTGAAACAAGATTACTGTGGGCCCAATGACCTCCATTCAGCAGATGGGAAGGGTTAGTCAGCTGACCCCAGCAGGTGGCTGACTGGAAGGATAAGCAGGTGTTTCAGAGGTCTGGTGAGACCAGAAGTACAGTGATCTGTCACAACACGGTGAGAAGACTTGACCTTGCAAGCAGACACTAAAGAGCCTAAGCAGGACATATGGTGGGTATCCCTGAGCACCCATACAGATGACAAGTCTTAAGCTTGAGTCAAGCAAGTACATATAAAGAAGCTCTGCAAGGGAGAGGGAGGTGTTTGAACTGGACTTGCTCCCCCAGCAAAGGCTTTTCTGATAGATATTTGCCATCTGAGAAGGGATGCAGTGAGGTCCCTTTGCTGCATTTTCCTTGCTGTAGCCTCCCTCCATTCAGTCTAGAATTGCCTTCTGGGGCAGAGTGAATTGTGATTCTCCTGTGCTTGTGTTCTTATGTTTCAAAAACGTGTCATCTTTTCCTTGCAGGAACATGGGTAACGTTTGGAGGACAGATTACAGATGAGGTAAGGATCACTCACTTTTTCTGCAGCTTGCTCCGTAGTTTGAAGTCTCCTCTGGGTTCTGGACACAATTGCATTGCAAATCAGTTTCAAAAGATGCTCATCTATTTTTTTATTGTTATTATCATTATTTTTGTTTTAAATGCCTGGACCTCAATGTGGAAAGTCAGGTTCCCATAGGAAATTATCCTAATGCATACATTTGATTAATGTTTACTAATTTAAAAGATTCATAAATATTCATGTTAGTTTGAATCCAGCTGAATAAAATATTTGACAAACTTATTTTTCTTATTTTGGCCAAAAAGAAAAAAGTATTGTTTACCTGGTTAATTATTATCTAGTGCTTCCTGCTG